ACACACAAACAGTATTGCCCCAATATGGAGAACATAGGCACGGCACTTCTGCAGCATCTTTCCAGAAGCTGGAGACCTCAAAAAAGGAAACTATCTCACTGATCTGAAGATGTAGCTGTCTATAAAGGTGAGCATAAGAAAATATCTTATATTCTCCCAGTGCAGACAGTAATTTTTTCTTGCAGATAAACAGTAAGAACCCTAACGAGATCATTATAATGGATGCATTTCACTAGAATCCCATCTTATGAAAGCATTTGAACACATCTTTGATTTTCCTTAAGTCCTGAAATACTTTGCTGGGTTAAAGCTCAAGGCAGTATTAAATGCAACCGAGTTAATTCTGGTTTATGTATATTTGCGTGTGTGTGAGTAACTCTGTTTAGGTCAAGTAAAATAAATGCACAGACAAGCATGTTAGCAGCAAAGTGACCCTTTAGAAGTCCTAAAAAATTACTCTTGCAGTCCATAGTCCAACATTTAATAATGCTGAACTTGATAAGGGATCTCAGAACATGAAAAAGGAGATCTGAAAGGCACCTTTATAGAAAACAATTGATTTGCTTCATTTCATTGAAATGGCTAATGCTTTGATGGTTCATATTTACAATAGCTTGTCCTGTTCTTCAATGGAGTTGATATGTTGGAGTCTTTAACACCATAAACTTGATCAAAACTTCCTGGGTAATAAACAGAGCGGATTTAAGATGTGAGCCCCCTCCCCATCATGCTACTGCAGCCCATCTGTGTGCCAATTTGTAACTAAAGACATCAAGAAATGTGTTCTTCATGCTCAGATGCCCTTGGTAGTTGAAAATAGTTCTGAGAGCTCAATATGCAAACTGGGTTCAGAGTCTGAAAGACTTCAGAGTGAAAGATTTGACCTTCTGTAGCAAAGGCTGTAGTTTGGCTAAATCCATTACTGAGAGTAGAGCTTTTACACACTTCACAATGCAATCTGGATTTTAAATTTTGCCTGGCTTCACCCACCCCCCACCCCGATTTCTCCCTACTTTTCACCAAAGGGCAAATATCTTCCCATCATCCTAGAATTTACATCAACACGTAAAGTTTACACAATCATATATCATGATATATGATCCACTGTTAAATATGAGAATGTGTTTTCACTGCAAACCCAGTTTTGTTCACTCTGTAAAACATAAATAAATAAGTAAAACAAATATTTGGTAGGGGGGTGGGTGAGGTGTGTGGGGGGGTGATTGAAGGTTTTGTCAGCAGAAAATGGAAACTTTGACTTCTCACTCTCCAGTTTGAACTAGTATTAAATCATTAGAGAACAATTTCCCCCCTCCAAAAGCTGGTTTTGTCTTCTATGAAGGTATGTGTTGGTGTCACCACCACTCACCATCCGCGAGAGCTCCGATCAGATACGCAACGACTCATCAAACGCTCTCCTGAGCAGTTCCTTCACAGGGATGCGGGGCTGGCTCGAGACAGAGGGCAGTCTGCTAAAACTGCACAGAGAGTACCACTCTTGCACACTGTGATCTGTGTGTTGTGGCAGCATGACGGGGCATTTTGGCAGGACTTCTAGGAAGTTTATCTCATCTCATCCGTCTGTCCTCATCCTGTCCATCTGCTCTGTTAATTATTTATTTGCCAAAAACAGTAAACAATGGGATAAAATACTACATAATTCTTAGTCTTGGATTCTTAGTCTTAGTCTTAGTCTTGGATTTGAGATGTAAGTAAATACACTAAGAGCAAGGTTACTTATCTCAGACTTTCTATGCTGGCACATATCACTGACAATGTTTTTTCTCATGCTAAATTTCAAGTAACTTTGAATTTTTAAGCGTGTATTAGCAATCATATTTATGTCTGACTGTTAAAGCTACCTCCTTGCTCGCTATCTCAAGGGTATTTCTGAGACTTAACAATTATAGACCATTTACACAAGAGAATTATAGTTGTAGTAGTTGCTGCCCTCACGTTTCATTTTGTCACTTGTTTGCTTGCAAATCACTGAAGGTACATCTCAAAACATAATTTTAAGCATGGAGATATGCAGATGGGTGTCCAGTGTGATTTTCATACGCACTCAGCATCTGACTCCCATAAAAACAGTAACTTTATAAAGCTGGCTCAGAATCAGAGCCTCCATCACAGATATTTCAGCATCTATATTTCTTTGCATGACTACAGACTTATTAAATTCTCTGAGCAAAACCTGGCCATATTCAAGATATTGCCATTAATGCCTACAAACAAAGACTTCACTTTTTTCTTATCTACTACTGTTACATTTATTAAAAAAAAAAAAAAAAAGGAGAGAAACCAAACAAAAATGCAAGTAATTGAAAAAGCTAATAATAGGCAACAACAGAGAGGTTTTCTTGCAATATGTTTTGCCCAATGTGCTGCTGCGCAGAAGCTTTATGGACTAGTGTTCCTAAATAGGAACCATCTTTTCCCCGTTTGTGCAAGTCTGGCTGTCCTTTTGACTTCCCTAATTGCACGCTTTCTTTTAGCAATATGATTGATTGGATCAAAGTATAGCTTTATTATGTTGTTCTTTTTCTTATAGCATGTTTTCTGAATTGATGGAGATGAAAAAACAGGTTTATTTTCCAATAAAAGTAAGTCTATGTGTCTGGTCTTCAAGAAGGACTATGCTCTCTATCTTTCATTATGTTGCTCAGTACAAATAAATACACCGATTTTTAGTAGAGGGGTTTATATAATAACAAAATTTAACTAATAAGAAAAGCATGGATAAATACTAGAAAGAATTATAACAATGAAATCCCCTCCAAATTAAAGAAAATGTCTAATACGGGTGAGTAGAAAAAAGGGTTAAAAAAAATTGCGAGAATTCAAGAAGCTTAGATGACTTTGGAAACACAGATCAAAAACAAAGAGACTGGAAGTATAATTAACTCCATTACTGCTCAGTCAAATGAAAACAGCTGTGACACCCCGTCTTATTTATGACAGCAGCAAATAGCTCTATTCCCTTGCTGGTTATTGCTGTAGGACAGCAGTGGTTCTACAGCAGGTGAAATAGAAACAAGCTGCTAATATTTATGTCACTAGATCAGGTTATGGATACAAGATTTATGCAAAAGTTCTACAAAAATATCTAAGTAGCTTTTATATCTTCCTGCAGCAATCCTTTTCCAACAGCAAACTAAATATCTCTTTATTAAATATGATTCTACGGTCTGAGTAGTATTGTGGCACAAAGGCAGCTCCCCCACTGCTAAAGATGAGAATGTGTTTTCACTGCAAACCCAGTTTTGTTCACTCTGTAAAACATAAATAAAAAGCCATTTAGGTCTCAAAACCACTCATTTATTTGCAGATCCAAGCTAGACTCTGTCAATGTGGAACAGGATACATGATAGTTTGATAATAGAACTGTTTTGCTGTACTTCAAAGAGCCTGGGCTTGCTTTTAAAAGTATGAAAAGCAAGCAAGAAAAATAGTTTTCAGATTAAAGCCCTTGTTTTATTAGCAAATGCCATTAAATCAGATCCTACTTACTTTGATTTAAAAAATGTGAGTGGGCAGAAGATTTCCTAAAGCGTTTTTTTATCCTGTGGCTTTAATCACTTTGCTTCCTACACCCAATCAGTCTTACTTCTTGCTCAGACAAACTGCCCATTAAATAACGACTGAGGAATAAGATTGTCAATAACAAGACAGAAAATAAAGCAAGTAGGATGTTGCACACTTCACTGCTAACCTTTTTACCCTCTCCCCTGCTCATCAACCTTCCTCCTCCCATTCCCCTCTCGATGCTACCTGTATTCCCCCAGCTCCACGGTGCGTTGACACTCGCTCGCTCCCCACCACAGCACCTACCTGCACCCCCAGAGTTCCAGAACCCTTTATTTCTCCACCCCTCTTCCGTTATGCAGACCTCCCCTCAACAGCCACTGCCTTCCAGGGGCTTTCACAACCTTGTCATCCCTCCCAGAAGAGGTCACCTCCTCCACCTACCCCCCAGATCCCGTGCCAGGGACCTGAGTGGCATGTGAGGCTCCCGGTCCCTCTCCTACTGCAACAGCATATGCCCAAATGCTCCTTCCCACCCCTCCCAGCATCACTCTTCTTCCCCTCTTTAGGGGTGTTCAATATAAAGAGTACCATCAGGAACCGGCCTCTAGGGTACGGCTATGCCGGAATACCTCTACGGTGCTGTGCCACCATCCCTGAGTAACACAGGAATAATGAGTAGCTGAAGCTGGGGATCAGACAGACAGACCCCAAGTGTCTATGTGTCCCCCATCTGGTTCTTGCATATTTTTTTTTAGTACTTCTCCAAAATCAACAATGTTGATAATATTCCCTGTGATCTCTTGGACCCACCAACTGCAAATCCAGACAGAAAAGCCATCCAGATGGCCATAAAAGTTTCAGATGCAGGGAGAAACAAATTTGCCCTTTTTCTGCCACACAAATATACGGATCTAGAAGGTCTGAGACTGCCCCCTAGTTTCACTTTCACTGAAAATAATGTGCAGAGGTCTGCTGAGTGACTACATAGGTATTTAGTTACCTATGAGCACGGCATAGACCGTGGTGAACCTCCCCTGTGGTCTCACCATTATACCTTTACCCAGCCTTTTTGTACCTGTCCACAAGAAACCACAGGTGTGTGCTGGCCTTTAACATCTTGTTACTGACTCGTTTTGAAGACATTTTTTGGTCCTAACTTTGACAATGATTTACGAGAGAGAACACAGGAGTGAAACTCAGGGTGTGAGAAAGCTACGAGCAAAACTCCAGCTGGCCTCAGCGGTACTAAGGTTGAACGGCCAGCAGTGCACAACAGCAACATGGTGCACAACCACCATGTTAAAGACAACTTGGCATTGTCACACTACTGCTGAGCCACTGGTTTCAGCTCTTCCATGATGCAAATGGTTTTCCTCGACTTGGCAAATAATTTATCCAAGTTTTGAGTAACAGTGGGAATATTAGTAGTTTTTAACTTGCAAAGTTGAATTCTCCCTATATTTACTTCCTGCATGACGGAGAAGCAACCCTGGACACCAGTAGGAAATAACGATACAGCAATCATAGTTTCTATCCCTTTTCTTAGTGAACGAAATTCCTCTTTCCTGCCTAGTACAAAGACCCAGATCCACAAGATAATTTGTGCAAGCAACGTAAAGAAAAGTGGTACTAAAATCATCAAAAAGTTAAATGTTTGCCTGGACATCGCTGACATCCCAGATGACTTTCCTGCCACCTTGTCGAAAAAGTCTCCTGGCTCCCTCCGTGCCCCCGCAGCTGCAGCACAGCATCGCCAGGGCAGCCGTGAAGGCAACACGCAGGGCATGGCTGGGCTGGGCTTCCCACGGGGCATTCCCTCTGAACACCCCTCAGAGAGCTCCAGGACAAGCGAGCTGAGCATCCCTGGCAGCTGGAGCCACACGGGGCCTTTCTGCCGCAGCGCCACTCTGAGCAGATTCAAAAGTAGGGTTTTTCCGTTTGGGCTTTGTGGAGAGGGTCAGATTCTAAGAAATATTATGAAATTCCATTTTTGCTTCTTCTGGGTGAGTTATTTTGTTGATGGAAAATTGCAGCCGGCTCTAGGTAGCTGTTTGCTCTGTAAGAACCCCCCCAAGCAAAGAGAAGCATGGGAGACCCAGGGCACAACGAAAGACTGAAGCGGCCAAAAGAAGGGTAGGGTACGAGGGATGCTGCAAAGGGCATGAGCTGGTAAGGCCAAATACCTTCAAATCTTCAGCCAGGAGCTGGACCGTAAGGTACCCGAGGCATCTCCACAGAGAGGGCTGAGATCCCTCAGAAACTAAGGAGCTTTGCACTCTGTTGACCAACAGCTGGAAGAGTGCAGCACCAATAAGATACTTCAAAGGACACCACGAACCCAAGTTTGGGCTGCTGAATCAAGCTCTGAGAGCTGCCAATGAGCCCCGGACCTTCTTCTCAGGAAAATGTCCTTCTCTTGCCTTCTGCAAAAGGTTATGGCCAAACCAAAGAATATGGTTGACATGGTAATATATGCATTGGTACAGCAGACATCTTCACCGCATCATTCTCCCCATTTTGTACATTGCCAATGGCACGACTATAAATTTTCCTACATTCTAATAGCAGAATTAGATGATCCTAACAGTCATTTGTGAAGAAGCATATGAGGCTACCAACAATCAACACAGGAATAAATTATTTTGTAACAGTAATGTCAGATGCACACAGAAAGCAGATTCACTGCTTCTGGCAAAACTTCCCAAATTTGGCCTATAACCTAAAGACACACACAGAAAGCAGATTCACTGCTTCTGGCCCAAATTTGGCCTATAACCTAAAGATACGTAATGTTTAAAAATTAGAAACAAAAGATACAGACTGCCCTGGTACAGGGCAAAGATCTGTTGATCTTTCAGCAACATAATCAAAAGGAGAATGTAGTATATGAGTATGTGTTTTTAGAAATTAAATAGTTGTTCTCTTAAAATAAACATGATGTAATTTAATATAATTTATCCAGAGAGCAGAAATATAATAGTACTCCATCAAAACACAGGAGCTAAAAATAAAATTAAAAAACACATTTGAGTGAGACATACTGTACTTAGCTAAAACAACAGCTAAATGTCAACTTATATTTCTGTATAGGAACATCTTTGACCCGTAAAAGACCACCAAAAATATTTTTGTCTTTAATATAGGGGAGCTAGATTAACTCTATTTAGTGAAAGAAAAAAAAAGAGACTTTTAATTAACAGCTGTAAATTGCTTATTAACCTCAAAATAAATTAATTTCTTTATCTGTCACTAGTCCACATCACTGAGATGGCAATAGTAATTAAAAAACAGATAAACTGTTTAAAAAGTCCATAATTTAATACATTTAGGCAACCTGAATTCTTAAGTGTGCAACAATAGAGATATTAAAAACCACCACCCTGATAAGCTTCTGCTTTAAAGATGAGACCTCATATGCCAACTTTCAACAGAGAGTGATTTCTTAAAGTCAAGTCATAAACCCTAAAACTGGGATTTCATGGAGACACTATAATTTATAATACTTCTGCAGTTTTCAATTATTCAGATGCTCATGGCCCAACAAATTGAATAATGAATGGAGTAATGAATTGAACCCTGACAAGATGATAACAGAAAATATTATAAGTAGTCAATACACAGTGGAACTCACTTACAGAAAGATCCCTCAAAAAAATAACTTGTTTGAAGGACACATTTTCTCCTGAAATCCAAAAGACTTGCAGGAAAATGTGTGCAGGAGTTGCCATTAACAAATAACCGCTAAAGGCATAAACCTGCAGAACAGTATATTTCTAGTGACCGAACTGTGAATCATAATCATAAATAGGCCAGTTATATTTTCTGTGGATGTAGGTTATGCATTTCATTATTGCTTTTTTTTCCCTTCCTCTAATGCCACAGAGAGAGAAAAAGAATGGCCATATAAATTCTTAAACACTTTAGCTGCAGGCTTAGCCTTGGAGGTGTGATGATATTCCACAGCTGCTAAAGCACACAGGTCTTAACAGTATTTAATACATTTGCATCAACACTGCAAGCCAGAAACATAAATAATAAAAATGATAAATATACTATTCAAAAATTATGATGGGTAATGCACGTTTGTATCTCCCTGCTAGTATTTAAAGGAGCAGTGCAGGCAGCCAGCAAATGCCATGTTTAAAAAAAAAAACCCAACAACTACACAAGTTGAAATACCCCCACGGATTAAAACACAACACTATTCTGCATTAAAGATATAGATAAGTTACCCTACATATTGAAATTTTGATGAGACATTGACCACTACTTCAAACTAAGGAAAACAACACTGCCTTCCAAAAACTGACCCTGAACTTTCTGCCAAAATCAAAATAAGCTTTTTATGGAACTTTGGAAAATACTGGACTAACTATAAGAGCAAAAATAAAAATAAAAATAAAAATAAAAATAAAAATAAAAATAAAAATAAAAATCTGTCTCCTGTTGGAATAGATCCAAACCCAAAGCCAGTTATTTGTGGCATGTTTTGCTTGAATCCAGGGTTGGTCTTCAGTGCTGGGTCAATGCTTTTATTGGGTTCACCCTGAAGATCCATATAGCTGTAAATGCTGGAAAAGCTGGAAATAAACTTAACAGCTCGAGACCATTGTGACTGTACTTTTTGCACTATCTATTTTGATTGAGCAAAGAAAACTGGATGGCTTCAGAAGCCCCTGAACTTAGTTACATTGGGTTTCCTACAAGCCAGGGCAAAACCCAAGAAGTTGGGACATCTTAGTAGATATCAAAATTCGTAGACATTTTTGGGCACAGTGGACTTCTCACCCTGTCCTTGTGCTGAACTCCTCTACTTCACAGAACTATTGGGAAAATGTGCTTATTTCAGTGAAATGGCGAAAGAAACTACCCATTTCCAGCATTCTGAAGAAAAAAAAAACAGTAATGCAGTAACCAGCAGAGCCCACATTTCAGTAGCGCCTCTAGGTGCTCCATTCCTATACGGACACTTCTAATGTGCAATGACAGCTCATCAAAAAGCTACATCAATTGGGAAAATAGATCTGCACTTTGGAAGTCTCCAATATTGGCACAACTCCTACCACATGCAGTTCACTACCCTTTCAGAAGCTCTCATGCTCTCACGTTTGTATGAACTCTCCCTGGACCACCTCTGTAAAAATCCACGAGCCGGGCTACAGTGTGCGAGACCACACATGCACAGGCATACCCATCCCTTCTTATCAACTTGAAGGGATTTGGTCAGCTCTCAGCACCTAGAAGACCTGTTCTTATGTCACAGAGAAATTCAGATCTCTGCTGCAATACTGTTAATCCATAATTAATCCAGCTCTGGAGTCCCCAACATAAGAAGGACATGGACCTGCTGGAGCGTGTCCAGAAGAGAGCCGCGAGGATGATCCAAGGGCTGGAGCACCTCTTCTATGAAGAGAGGCTGAGAGAGTTGGGGCTGTTCAGCCTGGAGAAGAGAAGACTCCGGGGAGATCTTATTGTGGTCTTCCAGTACCTAAAGGGGGCATACAGGAGAGCTGGGGAAGGACTTTTTACTAGGGCATGTAGTGATAGGACGAGAGGGAATGGCTTTAAACTGGAAGAGGGCAGGTTTAGATTAAACATTAGGAAGAAATTTTTTACTTTGAGGGTGGTGAGGCACTGGAACAGGTTGCCCAGAGAAGTTGCTGAGGCCCCATCCCTGGAGGTGTTCAAGGCCAGGCTGGACCTGGCCTTGGGCAACCTGGTCTAGTGGGAGGTGTCCCTGCCCATGGCAGGGGGGTTGGAACTCGATGATCTACATGGAACTCGATTAACTACATGGATGGAAGAAATAAAAATATACAAATATCTAAACTGCATGCCTATGATTTTTCTTTACTGATTTCCCCTATAACAGAGAGAAAAACTATCTGGAAGTTTGGACAAGCACTAGCATTGAAAAGGCAAGTCTGCCTTAACATGCAAATGTTTTGAAAGTGAGGCTTTGAAAGGCTTTGAAAATGAGACGCTCTAATAGAATTATTGTAATTACACTTAAAAATCATGTACATTTTTATTTCAGCATTTTCAGTACCTTGCTGGTAGTAAGTGACCTCCAATCCTAAACATGAAATTGTACCCTTTGCCTTTCCATTTTTCTTCAGAAATTGTTTTTCTAACAAGTCAGTCACTGTTCTCTTTCCGCGAGCATTTTTTTCTAGTATTTAACTCATCAGCTGTGGCAGCTTGCGTTGCTTATCAAATCCAATATCCCATTATTGAAATCATGATCTAGCAGTAAAAACACATTGATTTGTGTTTACTGTTAATATTTTACAGCTTAAAGCCCATTTTCCTAGCCAGAATAATGATTTGCTGCTCGATTCTGTCATCTTATCTCATACGGAGTAGCTCCAATGAAGTCAATGGGATGGCTTACTCAGCATGGCGAGACTCAGTGTAGCACAGGGATATGATTCTTAACTAAAGAGAGAAACGTATTTAAAATTCTTCAAAAGTTATCACTATCATCCCTAAGCTCAACTGCTACTGAGGGCAGTGCGAAGTGCCCCCGAGAAAGCCTAATAACTAGTTTTATACAGGCTGAAAATGTGCTCACCTTCCCGCATTTTTCTTCCCCACAAAATAGGCATGAACTGGAGTGCTGAAGGGAAAAACACACAGGGTTCTTGCAAAGGATATGGGAAAAACTCTTTTTATAAAGGCTGACCCGGGAATAGCCTATGCCTCACTGCACGCAGATTCAGCTGTCCTCAAAGGGATGCTTCACCAAGGTGATCTACGTTTCAGTGTGGTGCCACCAGTATAATTTTGGTATAGTGGAGCCCTGCCTCTGTGAGGTGGGGACTTAAAGATGTAAAGTCTTTTTAAGGAACATAGCCTATGGAAAATATCAGCCAGCTACTGTTAGAGAAAAATCACCTAAAATATGTATTTCTGAAGCACTG